TCATGGGGCCTGCCCCGCTGCCCCTTGACCATGCAAGTGGCCCTCCTCTGGACCCTATCGATGCTGGCCACATCCCTCTTGAAGTGTGGAGCCCAGAACTGGACACAGTACTCCAACTGTGGCCTGACCAATGCTGCATATAGGGGAAGGATCACGACCCTGGACCTGCTTTTCCCTTGGGTAGTACTGAATTTAGTCTTTGTGAAAGGTGCTAAATTAACAACTCACAATATGATGATAGTATATTTCTTACTGATGCAAAGGGCAACGGCAGACTGGGCAGCTGAATGTTAAGGCTACTTTCCCCAGCCTACAAGCAGGCTTCAGGCATGACTAGGAGGAACGAACTCATCCTGTGGAGTGTGAAATCAGTTAAGTGAACAGGAAGACAACATCTTGAGGCCTCAAGCTGTAGCTAAGTTGAACTATATGTGGCTGTTCCCCTTCTAGAACACCCAGGGACTTCCTGGCCACAGGTGAATCCCCCCACAGGTACAACATAGCAGCTTCACTGTCTGTTCACACCCGCAGTGGAGCAAAAAAGCTGCCATATTTGGGTGGGATCAGGCAAACTATTTATTTCTATTACCATTTCAGAAAACTTATTCCTATTTTTATTAAGAATATGGGCAAATTAAGCTTAAGTTTCACTGTTTACTGGCTGTAATAACCACAGAATGTAAGACTGCATTCACAGAATTGTGAACTGCAAATGCAATCTTACATTACAATGACCATCTCTGGAGCAGGCTCCAAAATCATTAATAGATGGCTAGTAAAAATCAATCAATGTTGTAAGTCCTCTCTGCACCCATGTTGCTTACAGGACCCTAACGTAAAATGATTAAGGTGCCCTAACATTCGGATAAAATAATAATCAACCTAGAAAATTCAAAGCTCTGAAGTTCTAATGAGGTTTTAAAGGGAAAAATAAGCATCATACTTTACCTTTCTTTTTAGTGCCATCCTTAATCTTTAAACAAACAAAGCAGTCTTCCTTTCCTGAAAGACCCAAGCTGAGAAAAAGTTCTTCCACCTCACTAGCATTGTTGGGGCATATTACACAGAAGGCATCTCCAGGCTGATAACAAAATGATGTTTTCTGTTTTAAAATAAGAATTCACCTCTGTAAAACTTGTCAGAAATCATGCCCTATGCCTTCCTCACTTCTACCAAAAGTATTGCTAGTTAAGACTATTACAAGTATGAATACAATGTATTAACTTAAAGTCATGATTTTTTTCTACCTAGCACTGGTGCTTAGATTTCTGATGTACCAAGATGTACTAAATACTTAAAGTTTACTTTCAAGTTTAAAAACTTGCTAATTAGGAGATCTTGTCTCTGACTAGTCTTAGTGCTTTTCAAGTACCTGAGAAGCCCAGTTAAGCACTATAATTGGGGGGAAGGTATTTTAAAAAGGATTTTAATACACAAAAGCCCACAATTAATTAGTTACATACTGTTTTCTTATGACATGAATTAACACTGAATCTATATAGTGAACCAAATACTTATAGGAATGTGGCTATCACTAAAAGAAAAATAGCTGGTTCAGAAAATTAGCACAGTAAGATTAAAACTCAGTCAAAATTACAGGTAAGCTCAGATCTCAAAATATAAATCAGAGGTGCCAGACCAGTGACTCTCAACCAGTGTACCACAGCACCCATACAGTGTTATCACAGTTAGGTTTGCAAATATGATTCATAAGACCAACCCAGAGATGTCAAACAAAAATCCACAGTTGTAGTCTCTCTGAGTTCTCTGCAGCAGCAGAACTCTGTTATTTTCCTATAGTCAAAAACAAGAGCTGGCATTTTCTAAGGGGTGCCTTGAGCCAAAAAATAGGTATTAGGACTACTGTGCTAGATTCCCCTAAGCTAACTAAGATGCAAGATGTTAACTGATGGAAATCCAGCAGGCAATATCCAAAGCATGGGTATATACACAGGTAATGTGGAAACCAAAATATTTTAGTTGTTGGTGATTTGTAAGATGCACCTACAACAAAACAACCTGACTCAGGAGTTCTAATCTCCTGGATGCATGTGTAAGCCATGCACATACAAGAGTAAATGCACAAGCTACCATGGGTGCCTACCTGTCTGGGAACAAATAATAACTAAAAACAACTGACTGTTAACAATTTAACATAATCAAATGGTGGCCAAAGAAACTGCCTAATGAAAAGAATACAAGCAAAGCCCCCTAGGGTTAGCTACAGACCCGAATAAACAAGGCTATCTTTGCAATAGACTTCTATAGGTTGGTTGTACGGAGCATGTTGGAAGAACTGCCCAGTAGAAAGTCACCCTTTGTTTAAAGGCTATGCACATAACAATATTTAGCTTTCCATCTTCAAAACAGCCTAAAAGCACTATCCTTCTCTGATTAAAAGGAGTCTTATTCTGTTTTTACAACCAGGGAAACGGTGTTACACAAAGCAAATCACTGCCAGAGTCAGGATTAGAATGTGGGAATTCCTTGCAACTTTTCTTTCGCATACATTACTTGGGAAACCTGTTTTGTTTTGTTTTTTGTTTGTTTGTTTTTACTTTTTACGCTGTGCCAGTCAGGTTGTTGCTTATGTAGAATGCCTGCCACAACTGACACCCCTGCTTTCCAGGGCATGCTCAAAATTGTATACGAACAAACTGATCTCTCGTTTATTTTTTTTAGCATCCTCTTTCCCTCATGCCCCACATCTCGGTGTCTTGAACCCCTTCCTCTTATCACATTCTCCCAAAAAGGCAATGTTAATGAATTCAGCATGCAAAGCAGAAATGTGAGGTTCTTCTATGACATCCCCATTAACTTCTAGCTTATGTGGAGCTATACCTTCCAATGAGTGAATGGAGCTCTGGATGACAAACCATTGTAGAAAGAGAAGGATGTATTAGTTATTTCAAAAACAAGTAAACAACATTATTTTTAACAGCGTTTTTTCCCAGCCAAAGTTTTCTACTCTTTGTTTCCACCAGCTGAGAAGAAAGCCACCAACTTACTGAAATATCAAGTTCTAGCAGCAATGCTGTTTTTACTGCATCTTCCTTAGTGAGCTGAACTGCTTTAGTCACTGGAACCTCAAAGACTGCTCCCTCCGAAATTAGTGAGGTCAAGCTGGGATCCTGAAAACAAGGAGATAAAAAAAACCAAACAAACTGAAAGAATATGACCAACTGGGTAGCAGCCCATTACAATATGTGTAAATGAAACAAAGCACAATGGTGGGGGAGATCTTTTTGTATTTAATAATTGTCCTACATAGGAAATTCCAAACTGCTGAATAAACTGCACTCTCTATATGCACATAGCATTTCCCCACAGTATTTATTTTTCAATCATGCCTGACTAGGAACAGGTGCATGTAACAAATCGCAGCTGAAGTAGATCTCAAACGCAGATACAACAGCTTCTTTTTTGAAGAGGTGTTTTATACAAAGCCAGTGTTAACAGCGGCAATTGCATCAAAACCTTTTTGAGAAAAGGAGTTATACTACCACAGCTTAGGAATGCAGGAAGTATGAATACAACACATGGTAAAATCTTTCAAGGATTTGAAACCTGGCTATCTAGCATGCTGCTAGGGCTATTGCTGCAGGCAGTTTAAATGGTAAGCTTTAAAAACAGTTGTATTTGTATCTAAGAAGAGTACAACACAGAGGATCAGAATTTAGATTCTGGATGCAGTAGGTCTCCAGGAGCTGGCTACCGTGGAGAAACAGCTCGATGCTGCAGAGAGAAACATGTTAGACAGGGGCATTTGTGCTCCATCGGGGGGGGGGGTTGCACTGCGAAGCTGCATGAGCAGCAACTCCAGTCCATCTCTGTCACAGGCTGCCAAAAGCAGCTCAGGCTCTACCTGATGTTTCGCTCCACCCAGTATCAGCAAGCACCATCCATTATGGTTACAGAAAAGGTAACTGAAAGGGGAAGCTGAAATATCCAACAGGACGTTCCTTCTGATAGAACTGGTTTACTTTTTCTTATTGATAAAAATATCATAGTTTCACAGTTACTAGGGTCGGAAGGGACCTGAGCAGATCATCTAGTTCGA